AGGGCGGGGACCGCTCTGAACCGCGAAACTACCGACCTGTTTCACTTTTACCGATCGCTAGCAAAGTCCTCGAGAAGCACGTGTACAACCAATTAAGCCTTCTTCTGAGAGAGAATCCCGACATTATTCCACCCCAGCAATTTGCATACAGACGATATCACTCGTGTGAGGAGGCCCTGGCTGTTGCAATTGATAGCTGGATGAAAGATTTGGATAATGGGAAGGTTGTTGGCGTAGTGCTCGCTGATGTCAGGAAAGCGTTTGACAGCGTCAATCACCAGTTGCTGTTGAATGAGTTATTTGATTGTGGGATTGGTGACTCGGCTCTGGCATGGCTTAAAAGCTACCTGAGTGATCGAACGCATGAGCTCATTGCACCAGAGGGCCTGCCACGCGTGCCATGTACGCAGGGTGTTCCGCAGGGGTCTGTTTTGGGACCTATCCTATTCAGCCTCTATGTCCGTGGTCTTCCCTCATGCGTCAACAGTTCCACAGTTCTGCAGTTTGCGGATGATGTCAATATGTATGCAACTGGTGACTCTGCTGAAGAAGTCATCGGAGCTTTGAACGGAGATCTGGCCAAGCTGTCTGTCTACCTGGAAGAGAAGCGCATGACGCTGAACCCAGCAAAAACGAAGTTCCTCCTCCTTCACAGAAAGGCAACAGCAGTGCGTGTCAATCCAACCCCCGGAAAGCTTGGAAGGTCCTCAACGACCTCTGCGGTCGGAAGAAATCGTCAACTCCTACTCGGCTCACTGCGTCTGCCCTCAATGCCCAATTCAGTTCAGTTGTCAGCGATCCGCAGCGACCTGATGTCCTATCCCAACCTGAGGGACCGGGTATAGCAGATGGCTTGAACCGCTTCGAACCAGCCACATGCGAAGAAGTGCTTGCTCTCCTACTGAAGGTAGACGAGAGGAAGGCCACGGGTAGCGACGGAATTCCCTGCTATGTGTTGCGACACTGCGCTCGGGTCCTGGCCCCGTCACTGACTATCTTGATGAACGCGTCACTGGCCATGGGAAAGATTCCGATGATGCTGAAATTGGCCCATATTCGCCCCATTTTCAAGGCAGGAGACCCCGAAACTGCTAAGAACTACCGCCCTATATCTTTGCTCCCGGTTGTTTCAAAGATCCTGGAAAGGATTGTGCATAAAAGGCTCTGTGTGCTCCTAACCGAACATGACCTCCTTCCTGCCGAGCAATTCGCTTACCGAGCCCACCACTCCACAGAGGACGCAGTCTTGTTGGCTGTGGATCAATTTTACGAAGCCGCAGACCAGCACCTGCATACCGGCGTGGTGCTCATTGATATGAGCAAAGCTTTCGACAAGGTCCAACATCAGACCTTGCTCCAGGATCTCTTCGAACTTGGTGTCTCCTCTACGGCACTGGACTGGTTTGCGGACTACCTCAGCACACGACGCCAGTGTGTGGTCACTGCAAACGGTACACGCTCAGAGGAAACAGCTTGCACGTGCGGTGTCCCCCAGGGAAGCGTGCTTGGTCCGATATTATTCGCGATCTACACGAGATGTGTCGCATCAGTAGCTGACCCGGTGCGTACACTAATGTTCGCGGACGACATCATGCTGTACCTGAGCCACGCTAGCGCTCACGCCATCAACATCACCCTTTCCGCAGCAGTGTCGGCTGTCGCCAGGCTACTCGATGCCAAAGGGCTTATCCTCAACACCGGAAAGACGCAAGTGCTTGCAATCAAAGCTGGACGGCAGGCACACCTCGACCTACACATTACTTGCACTGGCACGCCTCTTGCCCAGACCAGTACGGCTCGCTACCTCGGAGTCACTCTGGACGAAAATCTTCGCTGGTCACCGCAAATCACCTCTATCGTCCGACGCACGGCTATGAAGCTGCGGATCCTCCGCCAGATCCGGCACTGCCTAACAGTGCGGCAGGCGATGCTGTATTACTCTGCCCTTGTCATACCGGATATTCTATATGCGTCGAATGCGTTTCTCCCAGGACTGTCCGCTGAGCAGCGGAACACAGTAGCCAAACTGGATAAACGTTGCATCCGTTGCGTGGCCGATGAGCACCCATTGGCCCACACTCTTCCCCTGTACACCAGGCTGGGTGTCTGCCCAGTGCTGGAACGAGGGGAATGCAAGCTCCGACTCCTGACATTTAGAATCCGTTCTGGAATCGTCAGTGAGCTGTTGTCGTCCCGAATTGTATTGCAAGGCCCGCCGACAGGCATGACCACTCGAGGTCAATTGGGACGCAACCTTCCCCTCCCCCTGGCCCACAGTGCTTCTGGCGCATGCCGACCGCTTCTAGCCAGCTGCCGACTCTGGAATGGCCTGCCCGACTGTATGAAGTCCATAGTATCTGTCCGTGAATTCAAACGCATGCTACGCGTATTCTACTTCGGTTAAATGTAATGGCTTTCGTAACCTGCTGATGAGACTCGATAGAATCATGCTACGATGACCCGACTTGTAAATTTGAGATCCATTTTTTCTGCTCGTCTTGACCCTGCCTCCCCTCATTGCTACTTCCGTTTTCGTATTTTTATTTTCATTTATTTTCTCTTCATTTCTGACTCTTCTTACTGGTTGTCATCGCTTTCATAATATTGGGCAGAACTGCCCGTTTGCCATGCGATGTAAAATAAATAAACAACAACAACAACAACAACAACAACAGTGCCTGGTTCCGCCAGTGTCGTCATTGACGGCGTCCATGTTCTTCGAGCGCAGTCCGCACGCTATCTTGGCATTGTCATTGACGAGCACCTGACTTTTGGGCCACAAATTGACGGTTTGATTGGGTCTGTCAACAAGAAACTCGGCGCCTACCGCATGTCAAGACATCTCTTGCCATTCCACGCACGGCGTAGCTTTTACCTTAGTGTTATTCAGTCGTCATTGGAGTATGCAAGTAGCGCATATGTCCACACCCTCAGTTCTTACTATTTCGATAAGTATGTCCGGCTATTTAACAGGTGTCTAAGAATAGTTTTTGGTTTCGATAACTTTACCAGTGCCTCTCATATTCTTAGCCTATACAATCTCTCTCACATTTCTGTCCGAGTCAATTTGAAGCTTTTTATTCTTGTATTTCGCTCTGTCCATAGCGGCACATGTAGCTCCCTCCTAAAAGAAATTTTCCATACCCGCTCCTCCAGTGCACATACTACTGCTGTCACTAGGTCCCAAATCTCTTTTTCTCTGGCCTTGCCTTCTGCCCACACTAAAGCTGGTTTTTCTCGTCTTGGCTACATAGGTTCTGATCGGTGGAATATGCTGCCTTCCACTGTTCGCTCTTGTACAGATTATCGCCCATTTGTTCGTTCATGCTTAAAGGGGAAGTATACCCTAAAATCAAATTTTCACCAGTTGTAGTCTTCTGGGTGCTGAGTCGAATGGTCTTGGTCCGAGGAAGCTGCGACGCTCCCTTCCTACTTGAATCCCAATCGAACTCGCGCACTTCCACCAAAACTGGGTGACTGCGCCCTACTAGATGGGGATTTGTATGCAAAATGTCACTAAAAGCGCCATTTCGTTCTTATAAAAGCACGGATCACCGCGATTGGCCCATATGTTGTAGTCTTTTGGACGCTGAGTCGACTGGTTTTGGTCCGAAAAGGCTGCGATGCAGCGTTCCTCCTTTATTCCCAATCGAACATGGTTGAACAAGCGGTCACGTGCTCCTGCGTACACCAGTCAGCTGGTCACCGTGCCTGCAGGGTACAACCAAGAGTACATAACCTCATTCATACTCTTGGTACAACTTACTAGCCTGTTTGACCTTTTTTGGGTACAGTCCTGTCACTCGAGTTGAACCCGAGTTGAACCTTGGTGTGAAAGTTGTCGCCTGCTGGCGCGGTGACCAGGTGATTTGGGCACCCAGGAGCACGTGACCGCTTGTTCAACCATGTTCGATTGGGAATAAAGGAGGAACGCTGCATCGCAGCCTTTTCGGACCAAAACCAGTCGACTCAGCGTCCAAAAGACTACAACATATGGGCCAATCGCGGTGATCCGTGCTTTTATAAGAACGAAATGGCGCTTTTAGTGACATTTTGCATACAAATCCCCATCTCGTAGGGCGCAGTCACCCAGTTTCGGTGGAAGTGCGCGAGTTCGATTGGGATTCAAGTAGGAAGGGAGCGTCGCAGCTTCCTCGGACCAAGACCATTCGACTCAGCACCCAGAAGACTACAACTGGTGAAAATTTGATTTTAGGGTATACTTCCCCTTTAACCTTTCTAGGGGCTCCCGTAAGAGGCATAGGTCTGTGGGAAACACCCTAGTAAAATAAATAAAATAATAATAATAATAATAATGGTAGATAGGGCTCTGATAACGTAGCTGGTCCGTAAGTGGATTGGGGTACAAATTTATGACTCTCTCCCCATGTCGATCTGGTCGTACACTGCCGCGTTCGGAGTTGCCAACCAGGGAGTAGTACAATACCACGGTATTGTACTACTCCCTGTTGCCAACAACCCAGTTTAGGCACCCAGGATGGCAGAGGTCGTATCTGTTCACGGGGGAGACAGATGAATCCAGGGACATACCACCCTGGCCTGGGGCCTAATAAATACAACTCCGAGGGGAGAGGGCAACTTTGTCTAGTTGTTGAATGTAATTGTTGTTTATTATTTAGAACAAAGAGGAAGAAATGTGTCATGCGCATGGGTATATCACTATCAGATAGCTCCCTCACCAGATTCTGGTGAGGGAGCTGACGTCATGCAGCGAGGTCGCAACACAGTTAGTTCACCACATAAATTTTCGCGCGAAAAAAAAATGTACCTGCATGTGATCACATAGTGACATGCAATGAACGCGTTAACGAACGTCGAACATACACGTAACGTTACACGTACACGTGTACACGTACACAATCATGTGTGTCATGTACATGTCATTACGTCATTGGTACTACTTTTGAATTGAATCCTTCAGGCTTCACTGGGAAATCCCCTTGTGCTTGTTGAAGTACTACACTTTACAAGCTCTTTTTTTCTGATTTGAAGCCAATGAAGACGAAGATGTTTGTGTGTTGTTGAACCTAATAAATTGGAATATGCTAGGTGTTGAGTCAATGACTATTCATTCTGTCAAATAGTTTGTCAGCATATCCATTTACAATGGCCAGTGGCGAAGCACCTAACCCGTTTCTGAAACTTTTCCAGAATACGGATGGCAAAAACATCGCTCTGAGCAATTCAGATGACTGCAGTCCAGTGGCAAGAAGTGTTGCAAGTATTCCTACTGCTTATGAGCACTCCCTCTTGGAAAAGGTCTTGTCTGCCACGCTCGATGTCGGTATGTTCAAAATGAATCCCTATAAATTTGGTAGAATTTGGTGAAAATATTTGAACAATACTTTTTTCGAATTATAAGATGAGGGCAGATAGTCCATAACCAAGGCAAGAGTATGCAATTCACTGTGGTTGTGGCTTAAGTAACTCACCTGCACCTTACCCTGGACAGCGTACGTATAGCCTATTGGGCTAATAATAGTCGTCTATAGTAATATAGCGCCTAAAGTGATCATGTTCATTTTCAAAAGACCTTATTACGGACTTTTCCCGTTTGTCTCTTTCCCTCAAACCAGTTAATAACTTATTACGAGTACATTATTCTTTTTGCATCGGATAAAGTTATTGTGATTTGAAGTGGTGTAAGAGGTTTTGTAGAGAGAAGAACTGCGTCCACATCACTTACAAGTCAGAGCATACATGGTCCTATCCTGTAAAAACTACGTATAACGTGCCCGCATGCGTACACATGTACACTGGACCAAAGTCTATGCCATACACAAGTACCATACCGTAAAATTCCGTTAAAGGGGAAGTCCGGTGAAAAATTTAAATTTCAGGGTCGGTAGAGTTTTGGGCGCTGAGTCGAATGGTGTTGGTCCCACGTGTCTCTGACAAAGCGTTCTCGAGATATTTCCGTTTGAAAAACTGAGTTTCGGGGGCTGCGCCATGACGTCATGCGGCCGCGCCACACCCTCCGCAACGTCATAGCGTGCAGCTAGGTCAAAAGGAGTGCGTGAAAGCAATAGTGTCAATGCTATTTCAAATGATTTGGCGACTGATATTAGGTGGTGCAAGCGACCCCGAAGACCTAACTCCTTGTGAGAGTGAGGATGCAGCCATGGCTGACCTTCATGAGTTTGGTCTGGCGCTGAGAACCTCGGTATTCAGCTGAAGAAATGGCCGCGCGGGCCGGTCAAGAGTGAGCGCGCGCTACTGAGTTTCCGACTGATGAAGAAGCAGCAGCTATTGCAGACGAGGCTGATATAATTATCAGATCGCTGGAGAGCAGGGTCGCCAAAATGGAGAAGAGTGATTCGAGTACTCTAAATGTTGTTCCATACCGATTCGCTTTACTCCAGTAGCCTGGCACATGGTGATGTTTTGGTGCGAACTTGGCATATTTCGGACTACTCAATTGGAGAACAGTGCAGGCTCTTTGAACCACGGGCACGGCTCTTCGCTCGCAACGCTATGGAATCTGAAAGTTCTAGGTCCGGGAGCTGTTCGCTGTTTTGTCACTTGTCACGGTTGTGCACTCATCGCTGTAGCAAAAAATAATGAGGCGGGACTGGAGCGGAAAACTAAAATTTTCTTTCTCAAAGCACAACCACCGGCACCGGCAAGGAGAAACGCACGTAACGTCGTTCTCTGACTACATGAACTGATACGAGTGTAGTACATGACAAGTCTGTGTGTTGACTAGTTTTCTGAGTCTTGTGACTCGAGTCTTGTTGTAGCTACCCCAGCACGGCAGTGCGCGAGTAGTTCCGTGTGTGATGAGTTTGTTGACTGCACTACAGCTAGCATGCACGCAGCGCATTGCTAGAGCCGTAGAGCCTAGACTAGAGGCCTTGCTGACGGAAAAAGTCCAACTCGGAAACGGGTAAAATACGGTATAACCTCGAGGTTTACCGAGCTGAAAATCACAGGGTACGTAGTGTTTGTAACACTGAATCGAATGGTCTTGGTCCGAAGAAGCTGCGACAAACGGTTCCCCAATCGAACGCGCTCCGAATATGGCCATTTTGTACACAACTAGATGGTGTGGCTACCTGGCTGCACGCTGTGACGTCATCACCTGGATCTGGGTGATGTGCGCTCAAATTCGCGCATGTTCGATTGGGCGTATCTGACGAACCATAGACCGCAGCCTCCTCGGACAAAGACCATTCGACTCAGCGACCCGAACTCTACGGACTGTGACATTTAAATTTTTCACCGGACTTCCCCTTTAATAAGCCCCGGGCGTATACTTTGCAGAGCGTCAAAAACCAGGCGTATATTTGGGCATGGGCTTATTTTAGGGCATGGGCGTTATTTCGGACGCAATCTGCAGAAGATCAATCTATCAGCAACCCACTAGTTTCAGTGAACCACCATTCACACTGAGCGCGGTACAGGTACATCAAACCACAGCTGGAAATTTGGTCGTAACCAAGAATGTAGCGATACATTACAGATTTGATAGGTAAACCACTTGCTGTGGTAAGTACAAGGCACAACAGGTACCGGCATGTCTGAAAACGTCGTGACGCTGAAGCAGGGAAGGCAGAAAACTAGCTCGCGCGCTTGTCATTTTGGGTCCACTTTACGCCCTGGGCTTATTTCGGGCATGGGCGCTAAAACGGACTTGAAGTGTACACCGCCTAAAACTGGGCTTATTATCGGACATGGGCGTTATTTAGGGTGGCCTTATTTACGGAATTTTACGGTACTCAATCGATTAGAAGCCGGGGGCTTCTATTTTCTCAATGTTAATTTTGAGGAGGCTTTTATTCAAGAGGGGTCTCTATTCGAGAGGGGCATTTATTATTTTAATCCATACCAGTATTCCAATCCGATCCCTAATTTTTTTCAAATTCAAAGCAACTCGGCCCTGAATTAGTTTGCACACACTACGTCGACCTGGACATGTACATGCACGAGATGTTTTGTACGCACTTGACCTTACCATATATGGCACTACCTGGCCACCCCATGCTTGCGAATGGTACCGTATTTCCGCAAATAAAAGACCGTCCTCGTATACAACGCCTTCCTCGAATACAAGGCCGGGGCAGGGGGCGATTGAAAAAATACAAGACCGTCTCCGGTTAGAAGACCGGGCCTACTAAATGAGTATGAGAAAAATAGAAGACCGTGCTCAAACTGTGTAGAAGAAAATGGAAGAACGGGGGTAAAACTGTGTGGCGAAAAATAGAACTGGGTTGAAAGAATAAAAGACCGTCCTCGAATACAAGACCGTCCTCAATTATAAGGCCGGGTTAGGACGAGTTTGAAAAAATAGTAGACCGGCCTACTATTTGCGGAAATATGGTAGTCTGCGCTTCCAGTATTCGAGAGGGGCTTGTATTTTTGTCAAACAGTCATTGCAAGAGGGCTACTATTCACTTTTCAAGAGGGGCTTCCAATCGAGTGACCACTTGCGTACAGTACAATGTAGTATCGGTCATACTTGCTCCGATTTATTAAAACCTTTGCCTTGTATTTTCATTTATCGGTCATGTACAGTGCTGTCAGGCGCCGAAGAATGATGCGCCGAAGAACAAAAAGCTACAGTTTTACCAGGTGCAGGATACTCTTATGTACTATAATTTGTAGTACATAGTGGCTCCACTGACAGTTCTACATGAAAAAATATGAACGGCCTAGGCTATCACTCTGAATCCCCCTCCCCCCTGTTTTTCAGCACCAGATAGTACTCTGTATGTATTGGCCATGTGATGTAGTTTGAACTAATTTCTAATCTTTATTCTCATGATTACAGTTGACACCAATGTTGTAGTTGGTGGTGGTGGTGGTTGTGGTGGCGGTGGCGGTGATGTCATGTTCTTGTGTTCTTGTAGCTGAAGAAGATGATACCATTGGAGGGAAGTTTCTGTTGACAGAGTTATTGAGTGAGAGGTTGGCAGATGGAAATGAATCTCTTCTATTGGAGCTGTCTGAAATCAAGCAGGTGTGTGATTATGGATAAGAGCAAGAGTAGATAAACAAGAGTGTGCAACTCGCGGATGGGTTGGCCCACGGCGGAATTTTTCTCTCTTGTGCAACTTTTGAATTCACGAATACCGGTATAACTTTAGTGCTACTACATGCTTCTATTGCCTACACAGAACTGGCTTTATACAGACTAAACACACACACACCTTCAAGCGCCTGTAGTTGCCGCGCATTAGTCTGATCGTGCCCTTATTGGTATATGTTCGCACGCAGTCCGCCAACGTTGCCATGAAGGAACAGGTTTAGTCCCCGAATACACGCCTTTCTAGGTTACTAACTCTTGTCATTTTTTGAAAAAAACTTTGTCGCGCACGATATGTTCACACTACCGAGAACCCCGTCGAACCGTGAATGGCGATAAACCGTGAAGGACATTCGCACTACCGATAAACTAATGTTACCGTTACGTAAGTAGTTGTGCAGCTCTCACCGCGGCACTGAGAAGGGATTTTCCCTTACTCCCAGCCGGAATGCTGTTTCCGCCGCAGTAGCCACGGCAGCAAAACCTTTCCACCAGTAACGTACCAGTAACGTCACATGATCAAATCACCTTGGAAACTTTCCCATTCCGTCACTTTTTATCGGTAGTCTGAACGCGCCCTAATCGGTGATCTACCTAAAATTGCTCGCAACAGGGGAGGTTGGGGCAGTGGCATGGGAAAGAAGGCAGAGTGTGATAATTTGCCTTCCCAACAGAAAAATAAATTTGGTGTCCATGGAAATTGGATACATAACTACAAGTGATATGCCATGCACATGTAAAGATGAACAATGAACATGTAGATGTACATGCAACTATACAATAATGTACATACAGGAGGTGCATGACCACGTGCACATGGTCATTTGTGCAGATGTGCGCACGCTAATAGAGAGGTTGCGCACAACGAAAATTCGTAGCTCCATAAACAAACATTTTTAACGAAAAAGCTAACGGATATTCGTAAACCGTGAGGTCGCGCGCAACGCGTGACCT